AAAGGCTAGCCCTCCTGAAGGCAACAAAGGAAACAAGCAAAGGCTAGCCTGGCAGAACCTGGTTTGGAAGGAATTAAACAGGGAGTTAATTTTTCCTTACGGCAACAATGGAAAGGAACAAAGGCTAGCCCTCCTTAAGGCAACAAAGGAAAGGAACAAAGGCTAGCCTCACAGAACCAGGTAGTTAATCTTTCCTTAAGGCAACAAAGGAAAGGAACAAAAGCTAGCCCTCCTCGAGGCAACAAAGGAAGGAATTAAACGGGGAGCTAATTCTTCCCTAAGGCAACAAAGGAAAGGAACAAAGGCTAGCCCTCTTTAAGGCTACAAAGGAAAGGAACAAAGGTTAGTCCTCCTTAAGGCCACAAAGGAAACAAACAAAGGCTAGCCTGGCAGAATGGTGTGGCATGAATTAAACAGGGAGTTAATTCTTCCTTAGGGCAAAGGAAAGGAACAAAGGCTAGCCCTCCTTAAGGCAACAAAGGATTGGAACAAAGGCTAGCCCTCCTTAAGGCAACAAAGGAAACAAACAAAGGCTAGCCTGGCTGAACCTGGTGTTTTGCAATGAAGTGTGATTTACTGCCGTGGCCTTTTCTTGTCGTTTAGTTTTGTGAGGGTATGTGATTGGACCTTGGAAAACAGATCTCAGACATGACATGACGGTCTGTGATTAGAATTCAGACATGAAATGGTGTGCAGCTGTTGTTGCGTAGTGAGTCTGTCCCTGGGCGTTTTTTGCAATGAAGTGGCATTTCCTTACCGCCGCGCAATGCTTTGTTCATGCTGTGGTGATTTACCGCCGTGGCCTTCACGAGGGCCAGCGGGATCAATTTGTAGATGCGCCGAATGGTCTCACAGCTGAGTTGCCCGCAGATGGTTGGCAGGAACAGGCGGTACTGTGCGGTGAGGAAGACGCAAATCCAGGAGAAACAGTTCCGCTGAGATCGAAGCGGGGGAGGAAAGGCAAAGAGTGGCAGTCATGTGAAGTCATCGACGCAGAGAAAGAAAAGTCCCTACGCATTTGTGCTCTGGACTGGTTAGCAAAGAAGGCGATCATCCACGACAAATTGTTGCTGGGCAGTGTTGGATTTAGGGCACGTTTTTGGAGCATTTTCCATTTTCCAGTTTTTGAAACTGAGTCTTTTTTTTTGAGCTGTCAAAGGAGCTCTTCATCCCGGGACACCAAGCAATGGCGATTTTCCTGGCGCAAGAGGACAGCCAGAATGGAAGTGGAGATGACTGGGGACCACAATGAGAAGCCAATGAAAAAGATCAAGCGAGTGCATGCGAAGAAGTATGGACAGAATGCCACAGCGAGCCGTGCGCTCATGCAGATGGAGCGAGACGGTGCACCACAGGACCATCGGCCAGCTTCTTGGCAACTCAAAAACTTTCGGAGGACAGATCCGAAGACTACAGCATGCCTGTTGGCTGATTCGTTGGGATCGTTGCGTTCCTTTGCGCAGAGCCCGCCAGAGAATGTGGTGATTGATGAGTCCTCTGTGTTGTTGACAGAGGATGATGCGTTTCTGCCCGGTGTTTTTTGTTCTGTCACACTCAGAAGATGAGATGGCCCGTCACATGCTGTTTCGGACGTAGGTGAACACTGCGAAGACTTTTTCGACTGTGCTGACCGGTGGCTTTTTTGATTGTTTCGTCCTGCAGTCTGCCAGAACGTTCTTCAATGGACAGGAATTTGATGGGGCCATTTCGTTGCACCGATGCCTGCAGCATACCAAAACCCATCTACGGCTTGAAGCACGCCGGAAGGACCCTGCCACCGGGGTTCCTCGATTGCGAAACCAGGAATTTCTGCCTGTTTTGGTTGAATTCTTGCGTTGGACGGTATCTTGGCTGACGTTGGGCCATCAATCCATATGGCTTGATGCTGTGCTGCGCTGGCTGCGGTGCTTGGTGCTTGCTGCGGGGTGCGTGAGCTTTCTCCACGCCCTGTGGTTGGGGCGGTTCTCAAGAGTCTGCTGCGCTGGATTTGTCGGAAGAGGCCACAAAACGCAGTATGCCTGTGATGCCCGATGTCTAGCATCCACCTTGCAGGGAAAGAGATGCGCAAAACCCTGGACTCGTGGACATTTTTGCGCTACAGACTCCAAACAGGCCACGCAAGAAGACTTCATCGAGAACCTCTTTGACAGTGTATCAGAGCCGGCATATGAAGCATTGCGCCAATGGGAAGCTGATCAGTTGAATCTGGCGCTACAGCGGTCGCTGGAAGAGAACGAGGAGCATAAAAGAGAAGTGGAGGCCAGCAATAGGCTGATTGACGGTCGCTTGAGAAGAGCTGCAAAAAGAACGCTCTCTGTTTTGGGCTATGGCAACTGTCAGTTCAGCGCTGTGATTGAGTCAGCCAAGCTCGCTATGTCAGTTGGGCAGCTGCGGAGTGAGGTGGTGAAGTACCTTGAGCCGTTAGGCAAAATGCTTCGCGAGAAGATTGAAACTACTAGGTTCCATGAAAAATGGAGCCTGTGCCTGAGGCACATGGAAAAAAATTGGTCTTGGGGTGATTCTCTCACTTTGTTGGCCACGGCACACATTTTGCGTCGACCCATACGAGCGATCTGAGCCCCAGATGCAGTCCACCCAGATTGTTGGGGAGACGAGATTACAATTTCTTGCGCCATGGACCGGCATTTTGACGCGGTGCTTCCAGCGTGACCTGCAAAAAAGAACCATGCAGTCCCGCGGCCTCGCTTTGGGGAGGACGACGCGCACACACACTAACATAATTAACCCCTGGTTTAATTCTTTTCTACAACGTGTTCAAGCCAGATTTCTAAAAAGACACCTTCCAAAAAGAATTAAAACATAAGTTAATTCCACACATCCCACACCATATCATAACAATACAAGTAGTTCCCGGGCAAGCCGGCGGCGGAAGTTTCCTATAAGAAGAAATTGACCTATAGGAGTGTCCACGTTCTCTCCAACATGCGCGTCCTCCAGTCAAACGCACGCGCTCCGGACTTTTGACCCACGGGATTCCACGTGTGTAACGTGTGTGTGCCCCCTGCGAGAGATGACACACATCCGGCCACCACGACTTGCCAAGGGTGCGGTCCACATCGGACTGAATGGAATCCGAATTTGAATGTAAAATCTGTCTTGAACTCTGAGACTATGTATGATGAGTCTTGTATGATGAGGTGTGTATGACAAGTGATGAATGATGAGTGGTGTATGTTGAGTGGTGTATGATGAGTGGTGTATGACGAGTGGTGCATGATGAGTGGTGTATGCTGACTGGTGTATGATGAGCGGTGTCTTGACCAGCAGTTGAATGTCCTGTCCTGCATAACTGCAACCAATACTATCAGTATGAACTGAACGCGCACGCCGCGAGAGATGAATGAGCAGCGAGAGATGACTCCTCCGCGTACTACACTGTTCGCCAGCACAACTCTAGTTGTACTACGAAGTCGCCAGTCCTCAGCTTCTAGCTGCACAGATTAAGTTGTACTACAAAGTCGCCAGTTCTCATCGCCCAGCTTGCTAGATACTCCGCGTGCTAAAGTTGTACTACAAAGTCGCCAGTTCTCAGCTTCCAGCTCTACAGATTGCTCCACGTACTAAAGTTGTACTAGAAAGTCGCCAGTTCTCACCATCCAGCTCCACAGATACTCCGCGTAGTAAAGTTGTACTGCAAAGTCGCCAGTTCTCCTCGTCCAGCTCGCCAGATACTCCGTGTACTAAACCCCTCTTCTCAGATATATATATATATATATTGTTGCATGTGATCTCTTCTATTGTCTTTGTTGATACCCACCCTGTCCTACCCAATCCTGGCCATGCAGGTCCCAACACCACGGCATGGACCTCATGCCCAGGTCGACCGGGACTCTTGTGAGTCGTGACAAAGTCGTGGTGCTTTGCCGAGTAAGCAAGAAAAGATGGTGGCGTTTTGCCAGTGACAGTTTTTGTTCAAAGAAAACCACTTCTTTCGAGATATACTTTTGAGACAGACCCATGCCCATGCTGTTGCAATATCCAAGATGTGCTTGTCACAAACTTTGCGACTAGAAAATATCATGGCATAGTCAGAATATGTTCCATGCAGCTAGCAGCTTTTGAATTGGTGGTGAACAACCACTGCCCGAAAAATCCAAGTATAGCGTTGCGACCGATGCAATGACTCAGAAGCTGACAAGCAAAAGGGGGTGTAGGGCTAAAGGGTTATGATCCCAACCAAACCCTGAAGGAACCAGTATGACGTATGAATTAATGATGTCATTCAACGTTGGGCACAAAATGTGAGAGAGCTTTCAACTTTGTTGAACGAAGTGGCAAACGTGTGGCCAGTCTGGTCCCATCGTCTCACAGGAGATTGTTTCGCCTCCGGCTCCAAAAGCACCAGTGCGGAAGGCCCGCAGCCTTCAAAAGCATTTGGGTCAAACCCCGGAGTCTTAGAGAATACAAGTAAAGCATTCCAAGAGGAGCGTGGATTTTGGCCCATAACCACATTGATGTATAAAGCTATGTAGTTTGCGATGGAAAAGAGGCTCAGGGGCCAAACCAAGTCCGCCAATTCAGTTTAGTGAGTTCCAATCTTTGTTCTATTCAAAAGTTTGTTCACATATTGCAACCTATTAGCTGGTGGGTCCCAGAAAGCAGTTCGGTCAGTTCCATCGCCAGGCACCCCCGCCTCCACCCAAGCATGTACCAGAGGCGGAGTTGGGGTTCTCCAATTCATAGCATGTTCTCTCTCTCTCTCTCTCTCTTCCTGCAGAGATTAGTTTCCAAAGTGAACTGCCACTGAATCCTTTTTTACTGTACCCACAAGGTGGATCCTTCACTTGTATCACATGCAAGGACGAGTCATCGCAAAATCATATAAAGTCCACATCACACAACAGAATTTGGTAGCACGATGTGTTTCATGGACAGTGTGTGGTCTAAGCTTGTATCGTGCATGGTCGTCGAAAGGTTTCCGTAACAAAGTGCTACATGAAAGCACAGTCAATCTATATAGATTCTACTTTCACTGTGTTCGCACAAGAAAGGTTCGCCCACGGCCAGCACAAGGGTGGTTTTCGGGAAAAGGATGGAAAAGGTATCTTGGACAACGCCCATACATTTGATGTTCGTTTGGGTCGCCAAGCACTTTTGAAGGCCATTTTCCCCAGCTTCAAGGCCCGGGTTTACTTTCCGCAGCCATTGATAGGATTCCTTGTACATGAATTCAGTCTATTCATTTTGTAAGCACATGCTTTCGTACACAAACAAAGAACCAATCAAACCTATCTAAGTTTTTCAGGTAGAGTTGTAAACCTCGATTCCACGGCTGTGAAGGATTTTTTAGGAAATGCCAGGCCAAAGCCACTCCTGAAAGCTCGCAGGAGCGGGCGAAAGTAGTCGTGTGCACCGATGGGGCACCAATTGCTTTTCCAACAGTGGAATCCGCGTTACTAGAATCCGTTCTCGGTTGTCAACCCAGAAGGCAGTACACGATTCTTTACCTTGGCAAATGATGGACAAACGCGAAGAGGCCTTCCCGATTAACTTTTTTCACAGAACGGATGCCATTTGGGAACGTCCGGGTGCATCGACTTTTGTTATACCCTTGATACCCGCTGGCATTGGACAGTCATGTCACATTTGCCCTGTGATTGCCGAGCTTTATTGGATTCAAGCCAGCTGCAACAGTCATGTCGTACAGTGTCATGTCCACGTGTGACATGTGTTTTGGTTGTGGTTTGCTTTGTCTAGCACGTTTCTGCAGGCCGATGACGCAGTCGGTTCAGAGGAGATTCTTGCTGATGAATCACCATGGGCAAGCAAGAGTGTATCAACGTGTCTCTCACATTCTTGCTTGGTACTTCATAATTAATCAGTTCCCAGAAGTATAATGATCATTAAACGTTTCAGGTTCGGACATGTTTAAACATGTTTAAACTGTGCAGACTCAGTGAATGGCAGGGAACTGTCAACACGTTTATAATCGTTTATAGACAAGCTGCTTTTCAGCATTCAAACCATTATTGTTCATTGACTCATTGATGTATAGTAATTATGTGTTCCACGTTACCTCATCTCAAGACCAGTCAGCCAGGGGGGGTTCTGGCCAGGAGCAGCTTCCTTTGCTGGACAGTATGACGGAGGTTTGTATTTTAGAAGTGATGGTTGCCATCATATGCTACGTATGACATACGTGAATCAATCAGTGTGTCAGATGGAGGATTTGTAGTTCAAGACTTCATTGATTGCAGATTTTGACCTATTCACTGCTGCCAACACCGTCAGCAGGCAAGCCAACTTGGATTCGCCACTGCTGTGGTGGAGGCTTGATGGCACTAGTGGAGTCGAGGGAGTGCACTACCACACCAAATCTTGAGACTTTTTAATCAAGACTCTTGGTGACTCTGGTGCTGGTGGCTCACCCCACAAACATCCAACAAAATGGGTGAGGTGCGGTGTATGGCTTCTGGTACATGGCCATATTAAGGTGTCCCGATTGAAACATGACCAGGAGGCTCCAACGTGGCAATGAAGGAAAGGTTTGTTTTGGTGGCCAATTTGTTCTTACACTTGTTTGAAGCCACAATTTTGTATGAGCTCTAGACTGCTCTCAGTTAAGTTGAACAACTCTTTGGACAGTCCTTTAGGTAGAAGCCCCAGCATTCCTTGCTGCGGGTGAAAGTCTTCAGGACAGACACATTCAAGAGGCACACTCTGACGTGGAAGTGTTTCGTTGCACCCTGGATAAATTGTATACTTGCTGGTCCATTAGAACTGGAAAGTCAAGTTCAATCTAGAGTTTGATCTTCGTGATGGTCATCCCTGCCATCCATGTGTCAAAAATAATGCACAAGATGGATGTCCTAGGTGAGCAAGATGTTGTTGATGCGCGATACAGAAGACAAGGCTGCAGTCGACTCATCTCTGTGAGGCAGACAGAGCAGAGTTGGAGCCGGCTGTCCAAGAGGCTTGGAATCCATGCATGTGAGCTGTAGCGGTGAGACCACTTTAAGGGAAGCCAATCCCTTCAAACAGTCAATTTGTTCTGTTCCCAATCATGTCAGGCATATTTACAGTTTCTATTACTGTACTGGACTTAGACCCGACCCTGTTCTAAGAGCTTGACAGTCAATCACTTGAGCGGGAGACAGAATATAAAGCATTTTAGTGGATGATCTGAATGCTTGTCATCACAGTCGAGTTGTGCTGGTTCAATCGCATTTGAACGTGTCACAGGAAGAGAGAACATTGGAGTTGGAGCCAGCTAACCACCAAGAGGCCATGAGACTATTTTCCTGAGATATGTCTCTTAAATGCAATGTTGGTTTGTTCTTGCAAGGAGGTCCGGTGTGTGGCTTTCGTAGAAACCAAGAGGAAAGCTTGCGGCTACAAGTTCAGACGAAGAGGTACTGGCCATCCTTCAACATTCGGACAACTCAAAGGGTAGGTAGTCGCGAGAGTTGATATCGACACTTTATATCCAGCCTTGAGCCATATGTCCTGGACTCGTGGGGTGCAAAGAAAATACAAACATATGGACTCCAGCAAGTGTGCGTTCTTTTGTTTTTGACGTAACCCTGCTTTCTGAACATGGAAAGGAGAAAACACTACTTTACAGGCTTGTTTGCCGCAAGTCATGAATTGACAAAAAACAGTGTCACAGGCAGAGAGGGCATCGGAGGCAGAGCCAGCTGAGCAGGAGGAGCAGACAAGAAGTGTGGAGTGTAGATAGATCCGCCTCCGTCCCCCCCCTATTTGAAGTTTGTTCGCCAAGCTTGGTCAAGCAGATGCAAAAGCCTTCTTCTCCTCACCCAGAAACGGCTTTACAGGTGGAAACCGAGATGATTATTCCCTTGTTTCGCATGGACATCGCATTGGCCTTGTTTATTTAATTGTTTGCTTTGAAGCGGCTTTACAGGTGCAAACCGGAGTCATACTACATCTCCCAACCAAAACCTTGATCACGACTTCCCTTGTTTTACATCATATTGGCCTTGTTATTTGTGTGCTTTGAAGTTGGGCTTGTTGTCACAGGCAGACAGGGCATCGGAGGCAGAGTCAGCTGAGCAAGAGGCGAAGACAAGAAGTGTGGAGTGTAGATACAGTAGATCCGCTTCTCTTGCAAATGTTTGAAGTTTGTTTGCCAAGTTTGGTCAAGCAGATGCAAAGGCCATCTTCTACTGCCCTAGAAACAGCTTTACACGTGGAAACCATAGTATGGCCCATGCTACATCTCCCAACCAAAACCTTGCCTATGATTTTCTTTCCCTTGTTTTACATAGTGTTGGCCTTGTTATTTGAATGCTTTGAAGTTGGGTTTGTTGTAACAGGCAGAGAGGGCATTGGAGGCAGAGCCAGCTGAGCAAGAGGCGCAGACAAGAAGTGTGGAGTGTATATAGATAGATCTTCTTTTGCAAATGTTTGAAGTTTGCCAAGTTTCGTCAAGCAGATGCAAAAGCGTTCTTCTACTGACCCAGAAACGGCTTTACAGGTTGAAGCCAGAGTCATACTACATCTCCCAACCAAAACTTAGATGATGACCATTCCCGTTTTTGGTGTCACGACCTCTCGTGGCTTGCACAGGCGTTCGTGTTCCGCCAGTTCTAACATGTTCCGTTTCAGTCGTGGTTTCGACGTGCTGTGGAAGGGACGGGGTGGTGACACGAAGTGCAATGCAGTGGAGCTCCCTTGGAAAGAACACTG